TTTTTAAAAAAAAAAAAAAAGAAAAAAAAAAAGATGAAGTGCTGTCACCATATAGTCCTTTTTGGAAATTAGCGAGACTAATTTTGTGAGCAAGATTTCATTCTCAAGTGCTTATAATAACCATACAGCTAAGACATAGGGTCAAAGGCAGAGTCATTTGTTCACCGCTTGGCATTGCATTTGGAATAGGGAAGGAATCATTTATCTTCCCTGGCTCCAGAGGAAGATTATTTCCACTCTGTCCCAAATACCCTTCCAGCACCCCAGTTCCCACAATATTCCTGTTTCAATTCTACCAGTTGGGTGTCCGAGGAAGAGGTTAAGATCGGGGTGGAGTGGCTTCTCCAAATGCAGTGCTTCCAGAGAGGCTGCAGGGAGCTCTTGTTGAGCAGCCCTGACCCTGTGGTTGGGCTGTGACTCTGCCTGCCTCAGCCACCCACCCCTGCCTTGCCCAGCAAGAGGTTGCTGGTTGTGCTCTCTCCTCCTGCAGGAGGAAAAAGAATTTACCGTGATGCTTCTAAAATGCTCAACAGAAGTGGACCTTTAACAGGATGGAAATTAATGTTGTCCGTTAGTACTTTTGTTAGAATTTACTGCCTCCACTTAGGATACTTGAGAAAACTGTGTGATGTGTGCTTTGCAGGATCTTGCTGAGGAAGGGAAGGGGGGACCAAAGTATTCTGGTCTCTTTTTTATTTTATTTTATTTTTAATTTTCTTGTTTTGTTTTGTTTCTTTTCTTGTGCTAGTTTGATCAAATCCAAGGCATTTTAATAGTAGCGTGATTCTTTATACCTGCCTAGTGGCTCTGCTTCTGTTGCATGAAACTTTCCTCTGGGAAGACTTGTTTTGAGTCTTACTGTACTAAGATTAAAAATCTGGGACATATCCAAACTGCATGTACGGAACAGATGTGAAGGGTGGGCTGAAATTTATATCTACAGATCCATCAGTCTACAGAAACTTTGTCTCAGTCTCTTTTCTGTCCTTCATGGCTGTGAAAGTAAGAGGAAGGACTTGTGATGCCCTGTGGACTTTTCATTAGGCTGAACGTATCCTACATATATGCTACGTATTCCTGAAATGATCTCAATTTAAAAAATTTATCACCCATCCGTCAGAAAAACTCTTCAGCAGACATTGCTGAAGTTTTGCAACAGTCCCTGATGAATTGGAAATCTTAAGTGACAGTCCTCATTCCAGTAGACTAATGTTCTGGAGCCCAACAGTGAAAAGAGCTCAAGTATTTGACATTATTCGCGCCGGATCTGTCAGTATGAATGATCAGAGGGAAATAAGTGGCTCATGTTACTGGAACCATTAAACAAAACTTAAAATATTCACAGAACGGCTGCATTGTTTTGGGGGTTAACATCAGAAGGAGGGAAAAAAAAGCCCGCACATGGACTGTTGAATTAAACAGTGTTTGCTTTGTGTCTTTGAACTTCTCTTACCTTTTGACTTCAAAAAAGTAAAGGAGTGTTAAAACTAATTGGTTCAGAAACATTCCTATTACACATGGGTAACTGTTAGGTGACAGATCCAGCCCAACTCCTCATCTGCACACAAATTGAGATGGTAAGCAATGGTTTTGTGTAACCCTTAGGAAAAACTTCGTGCTGTCCTCTCCAATTGCTGTCGCTCAGAGATGTTTACCTGTGTCTGTTTTATTCTCCAACAAGTGATTCAATATACTTCTTTCTAAAGAATGTGGCATTTTGGATTCGGGATATACTATTTCTTGGTGCCTTCTCTATAAAACGTTAAGATGAAGGGTGGGGAAAAAATAAAAAAAGAACTGTCAGTTCCGTAATTCACTCAGGATTTTATATTTAAACTGGGTGCTCTCTGTCTTACACCTTGTCTCCACTAACAGAAGTTCAGTGAATCATTTATTCCCTCAGTAGCACTTAAGTTATTCCTTGGTTCCAGTGGTTTTGCAAAAATGTTTCTCAACTGTTGAAGCAGAAGGTGTGATCCTTAGTGCTGTCTCCCTCCCTCTCTGTCTTCGTGTCTGCCAAATCCCCATTTAGATAGAGAGATATATATATTTATTTTTTTTTCAGCCCAGAAACAAACAGGTGATGGAGGTTTGATGTAGTTGGCAACACAGCAAACTTAGCCTGAAGGTGTGCAGTGGTAGGAAATGGTGAGAATGAAGCCTTTTGAAAAACTCTGATGCCAAGATTTAAAGACTTTTAATCAGAGACCAGCCTCCTGGCTTTGCAGGTGGTTGAGAAGAAGTGAAGGCTCTGCCTGCTCAGCCTCTTCAGTAGCAGGATGGAGGGCACTGCCATGGCAGATGCTGGTGAAGGAGGTGCCTCAAGTGACAGCTCGCCAGGGACAAAAGACTGGGTGAAAAGGTTGTGGCGGGTCTAGGCCACGTAGCGATGATAGACTCAGGAGGATGATGCTGGGCAGAGAAGCACAGGAGATAACTGATCTTCCTTGAAGGAGGTGGCCATGACTGCTCACTGGGAACGTGCTTGGCTCTGTGGGAAGCGTGTCAGAGTGTCCTCTCCAGCTGCTGCTGGAGGTGGTCCAGGAGGAGAGGAGTCAGGGAGACAAGCTGTAAAGAGCAGCACAACTCTCCCCCCAAGAAAAGTCATAGACATGGAATTTGTGCATCCATCCTACTAGCACTCTGGCTGGAAAGAAAAGAATGGGGAAAAAGATAAAAATTAAAAAGTCCAGGCTGTGCTCAGCTGCTGACTGCAGAATGGATGACCCTGCAGGTCTGCCCACCGAGGCTGTAGCCGGTGATGGCTTGGGTAGGTACATGCCTGGGAAGTAAATGGAACCCTTCAGCAACAGCTTAGTATTCTGTGTAGGCACCGAGAGCCTAATGTAAGAGTACCGGTGGCTTCAGATCAAAGCCTTAACTGACTGTGAGCTTGAG